AAAGTATATAAATTGTATTTAACTGTTCAGTGATCACGGTGGCCTTCACAAGATTATTTTATCTTATGTGGTCTCTGGAATCAGCTGTCTGATGGATTTATTTTCTTTTAAATTTTTCTTTCAGTTGGTTCAAATAAAGTATTTTCGTTCGTTCGTTAAGTAGGTTCTGTTGCATAACTGTGTCTTTATATATAAATACATTATTATTATTGTTGTTATTATTATTATTATTATTTATTTGAAGTGTCACTAACTTTTATTATTGTCTGAAAATGTTTTCGCTTTTTCATTTCTGATCGATATTTATTAGTTACCTTTTATTATTATTGTTTTATTTTCGTTATTATTATTATTATTGTTATTATTGTTGTTGTTGTTTTAAAAAAATTTTTTTAAACAAGTAGTTTTTAAAACATTAAAATAGTAAGGCTAATGTCTAAACAAATATGTAGTTTATAAATCATTTTACTACTACACCAGCCAGCATCATCACCCTAATCATCATCACCATAACCATCATTATCACCATCGTTATAATAGTAATAATAATAATCATCATCGTCATCTTTTTCATAATCATCATCATTGTCATCATCACTATCATCATCGCTGCTGTCTACATGTATTCTTATCATGTCTCCATGTTATTATTATGATATTGATATCATTTTCTATAAGATCATCATCATCGGTATAGTTTACATGTTACATGCTAGTTTGCATCACTTACATGTTAGTTTACATCGTTATCATTTTTTATATTATCACTGACATTCAGTATGACATCATCATTATTGTTTGGTATAACTTCATCTGTATGGTTACCATGGATGTCTAGGCAACAACAACAACAACAGCAGCAAAACAATAAATTGTCAAAAATAATGAAAACAACAACACAGCCTAAGCTTATGCGAATATATTTGTGTTTGAGTTTGTTCAGTAGATCAAATGATGGGTTACATTAATAACATCAATAGCAATAATTGTCATCAACACTGATGTCTAATTTATTTAATGTGATCTATTCATAAAGTCTTTTGCTGTTGGTTAGCACATATGTTAAATCACATTGTCATGGTTAATAATGTTAATATTATTATTATTATTATTATTATATTATTATTATTATTAACCAGGCAAACATTTCAACTAATTCAAGACATGATTTTATGTAGAGACTTGATAAATTACTCTTATATTTATATGAGTATTCAAGTGTTAATATATTTATCAGTCAGAGATGAGCTGATTGTTAAGTTTAATTATTCCTATTTGAGAAGAAAAATAATTGTTATTGGTTGGTTATATTGAAATATAATAGTGTGTGTGTGTGTGTCTGTGTGCGTGCGTGCGTGTGTAAGTAAATACATTTACAGTGATCATACAAGTGTTAGAAATAACTTCTGATCCATCAGTGCTAATAAATGAAATAGAATTTAGGCACACAACTATATACTGTATCTGTATTTACGTTTGAATATCATTGAAATCTACTTATTTAAATCATTTTATTTTTGTTATGATAGATGGGGGGCAGGAGGCACTGAAGCAATGGCATCAAGCAACACCTAAGGTAATATGATGCGTGATGTAATTGGAATGTAAGGGTGATGTGATGTAATAAGGATGTGTTGTAATAATGATGTGTTGTAATGGTGATGTGATGATGATGTGTTGTAATGGTGATGTGATGCGATGATGATGTGTTGTAATGATGATGTGATGTGATGGTGATGTGATGATGATGTGTTGTAATGGTGATGTGATGATGATGATGTGTTGTAATGGTGATGTGATGCGATGATGATGTGTTGTAATGGTGATGTGATGTGATGGTGATGTGATGATGATGTGTTGTAATGGTGATGTGATGATGATGTGTTGTAATGGTAATGTGATGATGATGCGTTTTAATGATGATGTGTTGTAATGATGATGTAATGTGATGGTGATGTGTTGTAATGATGATGCGATGTAATGTTGATGATGTGATTAAATAATGTGATGTCAGATAGAAAAGGATGAATTGTAATGTAATATAATTGCTGTTATATTGATGACGACATAGAGATAACTAAATAGGTGATGTTGTTGAGGTTGTTGTTGATCTGTGTAAATGGTGTTGATGATGTCCAGATGTAGACTACCTTTTAATGAATGGATGCAGTGGTGTTGTTAATGATATATATATATATATATATATTTAACACATAGATGTGTCAAGATCTTTTGTTGTTGTTTCATTTATATGTTATATGTTGTATTTATATGTTGTCGTTTCTCTATAGTACACCACTCCAAAGACGAAAAAGAAGAAAAGTAAGAAGCCGCCATCATCATCAACAGCAGCTGCAACAACCACCACAACTGCAATAACGACAACAACAAACTTGACAACATCAGCAAACAACAACCTAACCAATGACGTCACAGCAGACCACTACACAACAACAACAACAAAGACATCAGTTAGTCCAGTTGAGTTGAATGGTCATGTGAATGGTGTTGTTGAGGATGAAGATGAGGAAGAAGAAGAGGAATTGGTGAAGAAGCAGCAGAAGATGAAGGATGCTCAGAGACACAAAGAAGGTTTGATCGTTTCTATTCCTATGTATATATGTATGCTTGTTTGTATGTATGTATGTGTAGTTGTATATGTACCTGTTTGTATGTGTGATATATGTTTGTATTTGAATACATTTGTTACAGACGCACATTTGTATGTATTATATATACAGTGCAGTATGTATAATTATTTTTATTTCTACCTGTTAATAGGCATCTTTATATGCTTGTGTGTAGATGTGTGTGTGTGCGTGTGTGTGTGTGCGTGCGTGCGTGTGTTTATTTTTTTTTCTTCACTAATTTTTTTATTCCTCATGTTCTTATGCAAAATGATGATCAATATCTCCTTGCAGATTACAAACACATGTCCAAGAAAGGTTTGCTATATTTTACATCATGCACATAATGAATGTATTTTCTATCATATTATGCTATATTAAAATACACCTTGATTTTGATTTTGATTTTGTTTTTTCAAATGTCTCAACAAAACCAATGTGAGCCATAGAAAGTAATTTTAACTTAACTTCCCCCCTCTTCTATATTTTCATTTTATTTTATCAATTTTGAATCCAGTTTTCAATCAACATCCTTACATTGTTTTTGTTCATTCATCTATCCATTCTTCCATCCATCTATCCATTCATTCATCCATCCATCCATCCATCAAAATTTTTCAACAAAGAGCGTGATAGAACGATGAGTGAAATAAGTGTGGCGTCGACAACCGAGAGGTCGAAGAACCCACATGCTGGCTTGGAGAAGTCCTGCAAGGAACTTCAACGACAGACAACATCCCTCCAGCACCTTAAGGTTCCTAGCGTGTTAATTATTTCCCCCTTTTTTCTTCTTTTTAAAATTGGAATCTACCCATCTTATCTGGCAGTCATCTTTTATTACCTCTCTTATCTGATGATGACTTTCTAGCTTTGTTTGTTTTACTAGTCAGTGGAATTAGCTCTGTGTGTGCGTGTATCTGTGTGCTTTTGTGTGTTACTTGACGTGTATGTGTGGGTGTGTGTATGATGATGATGATGATGAGGGAAGGTGATAGTGAGGATGTTATTACTTGAAAGATAGAATAAAATATTATTGACCGTGATAGTTATAATAATTAAATCGTCAATAATGCATATAATGATGATGACGATGATGGTGGTGGTGAAGATGATGGGGTTAATGATAACGATGACAACTACGATGATGCAGGTGGTTTTAAAGGAGCAGATGGACAAGTCATACAAGCGAGTGAATGAAGTTTTTAAAGAGTTACGACAACAGTTAAGTTAACTTTAACCCCGTCTTACTTAATATTATTATTATTATTATTATTATTATTATTATTATTATCACTAAACATAAATTGTATAATGTAATTTTAACGTAAATCAAATAAAATATAACATAATAATAAATAAAAATAATAGTTAAGAATAAAAACATAATTAATGATGAAAAAAAAGTTTAAAGATATTAATCTGTTTCATTGCATCATATCTATTCTTTATTTTATTTATTGCTATAATTGCGTTCATTATTAACTTTTCTAAGATTGTTTTCAGCTGTTAAGTAGAGATTTGCTCCGTCTTAATAAATGCCAATTGATACAACCAGGGAAACTCATTTGATGTTTTTCAATAACTGTCAATCCCTATGTATTGTGCTTGTGTTCTTATTAAATTCTTCATAACTGCATTCATTTTCAAGTGCCACTTCACAATTTCGTCTAATCTCAAATGATTATTTTATATTTTAAGGTATTTTTTGGTTTTCGTGTTAGTAGTAAAATGTGTATCATTATTACATTAGCTCAGCAGCCATCTTTCCATAATTACCTACATTGGCATGGCATGCATATGCATCGTTCATGCTTATTTCACGCATACACAATTCAAATTCGTTTGTTTGGTGGTTTCTTTTCCATCTTGTTTGCTCTCTATTTTCAATAATGCCATCATTGGTTTCATGGATTGTGATGTTTTTTTTGTAAACATTTTTGTTGATGGTTATTGATGAGAATAATTTTGATGATGTTACAAAGGATGGTGGAGAGAGAAGCAGAGCTGATGTTTCTACTGGACAAATCTAAGGCCAAGGCTTGTAAGTTTCCACGCTGTTTGATTGATGTCTGATGGTTGATGTTGATGTGAAGCGCCATGCAGGGTCTCACACGTTTAGGAAAGCCAGGACAAGTCCTCCAATTGAATTTTTAGGCGATGCAAAGTTTTAGAATACGACCAAGGTCATGAAATGTCATGGAATTTTAATGAACGATCACGGGAAAGTTTCACTACGTAGTGTAAACATGTTGCTGCCTTACGGCGTTGTTTGCTTATTGCACCTTTTTATGTGCTTGCACTCTGATTTAAATACACATTTTAAAATTTCTATTTATGTTAAGTTATGTCATAAGTTCAATCTTGTGTCATTAAATTGCGTGGGCAACACGCGCAAAGATAATGGATCTTAATTTTGAACATATTGCGCACGGCAAAAGCTTAATATTTTTGAACGTTTTTTTGGGAACGCGTATAATTTCAAGGCTTGTTTGTTAAAATTTATTGCCAATAACCACAAAATGTATCAAAAATGTGCGTGAGATTCTGATGTTTCCTTATGTACCTTTATTTATATTAGAGTACCAAGCATTAGCAAGATCTCATCGGGTTAATCTTATTAACCTAACACCTGGTTGGCCTTTTTTAATGCGCGGTTTTATTTTATTTTTATAATTTTATGAAATTTTATTTATTAATCCACAAATTCAAACAAACCTGTCGTATATGTAATATGATACTGGTGGTTTACTAGTTTCTATAAAATTAAAACAATTGTATAAGTCATTTTTTTGTCCTGGTGTTTGATGAAAAATATTAATGCACCATCCATTATTATTTAACTTATAAATTGTTATCATATGCTCTTGATGATTTGAATAACCCAGCTGAAGTGTTAGCAACATATGAATTGAAGGCAGCTGATTTGAAATTGAGAACTGATAGGGCGCAGGCCATGAATGATAAAGAGGTGGCCATACTCAGATCTGATATCAAGGTCTGTTTTCACATAATCACATCATCAACTTCACATAATCACATCACATCAACTTCACATAATCACATCACATCAACTTTACATAATCACATCATCAACTTCACATAATCACATCACATCAACTTCACATGATCACATCACATCAACTTCACATAATTACATCATAAACTTCACATAATCACATCACATTAACTTTACATGATCACATCACATCAACTTCACATCATTACATCATAAACTTCACATAATCGCATCGCATCACATCAACTTCACATATTCACATCATCACATGCACGCCTGGCACATGCATCAGTGCCATTATTTTCAACACCCTGCATGCTCCAGGCACGTATATATCATCATCATCGTCGTAGCATTAACGAGCAATACATCATTACACATCACATGGTCGTCATTATAATTTTGTCACATGACATCATGACGACAGCACTTTGTGACCGACCACAAGCACTACGAAGAAGTGGCCACCAATCCAAAGTTCACGTGTGATTTCAACAAGATGCTCTCCAATCTGTGCAACAGTTTGGGGAGGGTTGGTTGTGATGATGATGGTGGTGGTAATGGTGGTGATGGTGGTGGTGGTGGTGGTGGTCATAATTTTAATATTAAATAATGATAATATTAAAGTTCATCATTCCCTCTCGTGAGCTACATTATAATGATTGAAGCTGTTCTAATGGTTGTGTTATTGATTTCTATAACATGTTGTTGTTGTTGATGATAATGAGGATGATGATGGTGTCGATAATGATAGTGATATTAATGACAAAAAAGTGCTTAAAATGATGAGGATGATAAAGATGATGGTGATTAAGTTATTAACAATGATAACAAGGGTTCTTGGGATATTAACAACGATGATGATGATGATAACAAAGATGATGATGATAAGGATGATGATGACGATAAGCGATAAGCGAGCTGAGTGTTTGTTTGTCTACTGCGTTGGATGAAATCAATAACCTGACAGTTTCTTATCTTATTGCACAGACCACACCTGGTCATTATCAGCATTATTATCATCTGTAGCTTCATATAATAATCGTTAATATTATTATTATCATCTGCAACTTCCTATATTAATCATCATTATTATTATCATTTTTATCACTATTATTATTATCATTATTATATCATTATGATTAGCTGTAACTTTCTATGTTAATCATTATCATCATGACCTTCAATACCATCTCAGTGCAATGCAATATTTATTGTACGAACAGATTATCATCATCGTCGTCATTATCATTCTATTGACACGTTCAAAATTATTACTATCATCATCATCATCATTAACAGCAACACTATCATAATCACATCATATCTTGTTATTGTTGTTATTATTATTATTATTATTATTATTATTATGCACCGACGAATTGTTAACAACTTCTTCACAACATTTACAATATATTAACTTTGCATTGACAATCCGTTGTTGCCAGTTAGAAGAGGAGTTCTGCATGGAGACCCAGGCTCTCTCCTATTATTCAACCTTGGTTTCAATCCTCTCATGATGAACTTAGAGAATTAAGAATTTAGACAATGTGGTTATCTATGAGGGGCCAACATGCAAGGTGAAATCTAGATCATGGTTCTGGATTCAAATACCTAGTTTAAATATACGATTCGGAATTGAATGACACAAAGGCCAAAGAAGAAATGGTCTCCAAGTTGTCTCGGCTGCTGAATATCACGACTGATCTTGATGTTCCAGCACAAATGAAGTTACAAATTTTAAGACGATTCATCACTTCACAATTTGAGCTACGGAGCTACAACTTCTCCCTGACATGGATCGCTAATGCTCTAGACAGTCTAGTGGTAGAAGCAGTCAGAAATTGGCTAACAATGCCAATCAGCGGTTCTGTGTTAGAGATGTTGAGTCTGCCGTTGAAGGTTGAGGCCAAAATACTGTTTCATTTAAGGACTCTGCATTGAAAATGAGAATCAAACTCCGCAACTATTTTAAAACAAGTTCAAATACAGAAATTCGATGTCTTTGGCGGGAAACAGCATTAGACTACAAAATGTCCGACACCTTGCTTTCGAAATCGGACTCAACATCTTAGTTGCTAAAAGGCTTAGAAAAAAAGCTGGGTAGATGCCTGTTGGAATCACATTGTTTCTTTGCGAAGTCAAGGTGCTCTTAGCAAATCTGTGTCAGTGACAATATCTCAAATAACTCATTGATACAAGATATTAGATACTCATTGCAGCACCACAAATACACCTTGAAATTGAATTGACTGACCTATGCAATAAACTCATTTGATTTTTTTAAACACCTTTACAACTTTCAGAGTTTAGCTCACCAACATTATCACCATCAAATGACCACTAACATCGTTTGAAACCCACTCACTTCATCATAATCATCTTAGTCATACATAACCATCACCATCTTAATACCACACAGTTCCTCCCATCCGAGGCATCTCAGAGTACCAGGCTCACTTGCCCGCCAACAGCATCGACTGCAGTTCACCCGCGTATGATTCAACTTCCGACGCTGCTGCTGCCGATTCTGCTGACAATGGGTTGAAAGTTCACCACCACCATCCTCGTCATCATCCACACTCTGGTTGTTTGTATATTTTATGTTATCTTTGATGTTCGTGGTTTTTTTTTTATTGTCATTGATTTTACTTGTTTTACGCAATTCCGCAAGTCGACTATGCAATTAAAGATGCTGGAATCTGATCAATTATTCTCCAACGTCTTCCATGTAGAAGGGCTTTCAATCAATCAGCATGAGGACGGAATGAATCTCTTCAGATCTCCACCAAACCATTGAAAATCATAACTAGCAGTCTAACTAAATTGCTTTTAGATTTAGTCTATCTTTTTGTTGACCTGCAGTCTTTTTTAATCCACTGGTGATTAGATGCTACGTTATCGATCAGTTGGCTACTTTTAATTATATGACGTCATTTCTGTATTTCAAACTCTTCAACGTTCAACAAACACACGTTTGTTTATTTGCAAAACGTAAAGATGAGCATGAGCGGGCACGCATGGGGGCTGACCTCTGCTCTCGAACCAGCCGGCACCCTCACCAACCAACCATGAATGAACACGTTGCCCAACTATAAAACAGCCACTTTGTTTTGTGTATTTCAATGAATTGTTTTTTACAATGTTGACGTCACTCGTCTCTTTGTCATAAAAATTTTACCATTCGTCACAACATTTCAGCTTCAGTGCATATATTGAACCAATCAGAATCATTGACCAAATATGAGAACCAAGCGCTGACCAATCGCATCGCTCAGCTTTCTACTGGAGAGGTTAGTTTTTCTCTTACCCTATTATCTCTATCTCTACTGTATCAAAATCCACGTCTCATTGTTTTAATTATATATATATATATATATATATATATATGTGTGTGTGTGTGTGTGTGTGTGTGTGTTTGTGTATATATATATATATATGTGTGTGTGTGTGTGTGTGTGTGTGTGTTTTTGTACGAGTGTTTGTGTGTGTGTGTGTGTGGATGTGTGTGTGTGTGTGTGTGTAAACTTGTATGTAATGGGACATACCACTCTCAACAGGTTGCCGCCCACACTGCAGTGCCTTCCACCACATCTACCAACTTCTCAAACTTCAGGAGCCCCAAGGGGAGGGGTTATAGAGGAGGTGGAAGTGGTAGGTGATGATGATTATGATAAGAGTGATGATTGGATGATTATAAGATCTAGTTAACGAATGTTGTAGTATGATTTGCTGGTTGACTGTTATACTGATGCTTGCTAAATGGTTGGTTGGTCGGTCGGTCGGTCGGTTGGTTGGTGGACAGATTTGCTCTTGAGTTGGCAGACAGTTTACTTGTTAGCGGGTATAAATTGATAGTTTCACGTTGATCAGTGGTTACAAAATTCCACACACGCCACCACATCAATTACTCAGGCCCGCAAGCGGGGAGAGGAGGAGGAATGAGGGGTGGAAGAGGGAGAACTGCTGCTACTGGATCATCAGGTCCTTTCCAGTCACCAAGACAGCAACCATCCTCATGATCAACAGCATGACCAACGACAACATCAACAACAACATGACCAACAACAACAACAACATGACCAACAATGTGGAGTGGAGCATGGTTGAAGATGGCGGTGCTGGTGCTGGATGTCTTGTAAAGGTTGCCTGATAAATTGTGTTCAAATGACGTCATCCAACTGTTAGAGGAAAAATGTGCAGAGCTGATTGAAATGGTATTTACATAAAAAATTAAGGCATGAAACATTTAAAAAATTTACAACATAAAGTGTCGAGGTAATGTGGAAATGTTTGTACCATGCATGCATGATGTGTGTGTGTGTGTGTGTGTGTGTGTGTGTGTGTGTGTGTGTGTGTGTGTGTGTGTGTGTGTGTGTGTGTGTGTGTGTGTGTGTGTGTGTGTGTGTGAATTTGTGTTAGTGGTGTGGTTGATCGTGCTTGCATGTATTTTCATCCGTGTGTACGTTTGCGTCGAATGTACAAAAAAATTACAGAAGAAATGTGCAGAGCTGATTGAAATGGTATTTGGTATAATGGTATTGAAATGGTAATGGTTATGTATGTTGTGTGTGAGGGGAGTTTGAACGTCTTGCATTTATGCTTTATTGTCGTTTTTTGTGTACCAGGTTGTTAATCTTTCTTGTGGTTTGTTTTGTTGTTGTTTGTTTTGTTGTTACAACATTAACTTGTTATTATTGTTAATGTAACATTATACACGTTGGTTTTATAATTTTTGTTGTTCGTGTTTGTTTTTTGAGATTATTATGATTGTAATTAACATAAAAAGGATACGTCATTTTCAAATGAATATTTTTGCCGTACTTTTAATAAATAATTTTGTAATTATTGATGTTACTCTTGTTACTTATTACTACCTTTCAAATCATAATACTGTGAGTTTGCATTGTGCCAGCTTTTTTATCAGCTCTTGAATCAGCTGTTTTATCAGTTGTTAAATCAGCCGCTGAATGATTCTAGGTAAATATTGTTCATACAATGGGAGGTGTTTTATTTTATTTAATTTTTCGCTCTTTTTGAAATTAATTGAGAGTTAAATTATTTTGAAATTAGTCGAATGTATCCAAGATATTGCAGCTCGAGATTAGTTTAATGTTTCTAATTTGTAAATTATTTTCATACTTCCTAAATTAGATATTTATTAAAATGATCATTTCTTTATGTGTCTGTCTATCTGTTTATATTTCCGCTTGTATGTGGTTGTTATGCGATTTGGTTACTTACCTTTAAAGGTTTCTATTGTTTTAAATTGTGTTTCTTGTGTATGTTTCTGCAATTTCTCGTGTATATTTTTGTGATCTTCCATTTGTTTTGTTTCCTCATTTGTAAATATACATTTCTCTTCCATTGAGATTTATTAAATTTTGCATTATTTTTCCAATTTGAAATTGTACTTTTGATCTAAATTATATTCAACCCCTCAATTCTCAGACGACAATGGTCCACATGCATACGAAGGTGAATAGTGTCTGTCGTCATTTTTTTTGTTGTTGTTGATGTTATTGTTGGTTGTTGTTTGTTGTTGTCGTTGTTGTCGTTGCTCGCATTTACCAACTAGACGATTGTGAATACATAAATGTATGTTGTAATATACACGTGTGTATCGTTCTGTGCGTAATGAATGCCGCCCTGTAATTAATTGTCATTTTCCTCATTTGATATTCTTCTTCGTCAATTGTTTTCGTGCTCAGTTGGTTATCTTCTGATAAATAAATAAATTAATAAATAAATTAATTAATTAATTAATAATAATTATAATATAATATATTTATATTATAGTTGTAATGAGGATTGTTGTGTACTAAAAATTGACTATTGTCTTGTCTCATCTATAAAATTGCTTTTCTTATTTATTATATTTACTCGTATTTATCTTATTATCGAAGAGATGATGGTCACTATATATTCATTCATTCATTCAATATTAATTTTATTAATTTACATGTCCATGTTTTATATATATATATATATATATATATATATATATATTAATTTTTATCTATGTATTCAATTTTCTGGATACGAGGAGTAGTACAGAGCTGATGTCGATGATGGGACTGAATGAGGATATTGTGACATTGATAAGGAGATCGAGATTGCGGTGGTATGGACATGGGTTTAGAAGGGATGAAAGGGTCGGGATTAGGCAAGCGTTGGAGTTCGAGGTTGAAGGAGTGATAGGAAGGGGTCGTTCGCGATTGAGATGGAGAGCAGGTGGAGAAGAACAGAGTGAAAGCGGAGTTGCGTGATACTGAGGCGAGTGACAGATGTGAATGGCGTCGAGGGGTATTTCGGTTTCATCATAGATAGCCAAACGGCAACCCCCGATCTCGGGGAAAATGTCGTCTAAACGTGTGTTGTGTTGTTGTTGTATTCAATTTTTACTGTTGCAGATAAGTAAATATAGATATTGAGAGAGAGAGAGAGAGTTTTTTTCTTTCTATTACAAAATACATGCATATCTTATTATGTGTTCTTCTTCATTGTTACCATCGTCGTTATTGTTAATTCGTTTTAAAATTATTTCTGATTAATATCCTACTAACAATATTAGCATGTTTATTTTTGTTCTTGTTTACACACACTCACTTCACACTCACACACAGATATATATATATATATATATTTATACATATGAGAATAATTTTTTAAATTACCGTTGTGCATTAATATTTAATTATAATATTTAATATATATATATATATATATATATATATATATATATATATATATATATATATATATATATATGATATTTACACGTAATGATTTTACTAATTACAGAGTTATGTTAATTTTTTTTGAATCGTCCCAAATGATCCCAATGACCTTTTGATCGCCAGTGCACAATCGGTCTATTTAAACATGTTCATGTGTATGTACGTGACATCAACGTTTATAATTGATCTTATATCATGCTAATGTTTGCTATATATATATAGATACTTATATGTATATACATATATATATGTATATATATATGTGTATATATATATATAGGTAAAAGGCCATTACGTAATAAATAATAAAATGGCGATAGAATTGAATAATAATATATATATATATATATATATATGTATATATATATATATAAATATATATATATAGCTTACCTTTGAAAATATATCTATTATTGTTGATAGTACATTTATTTCTTTTATAATTTGATTTTCTTGCTCATCCATCGTTCCATTCATTCATCCATCCATGCATGGTTACAGTATTTGTGCCTTCCTACGTTATCCATTCATTCATACATTCAGTTCATTTATTTATTCATCCATTCGCTAGTCTAACCTGGCCACACATTTCAATATTAATTTCTTTATTCATTCTTTCATTTCTTCATTCATTCACTAAATATATTAGCTCGTCCATGACTATACAGGATGGCCTTGTAAACAGCATCACATTACATTACGTTACTCGTTGAGTAGGCTCACTTTAAATTGCAATGCGTTGTTACATTACATTACTTGTAACTTAAAGAGAATAGCTGAAAGTGCATCCATCCATCCATTCATTCATCCATTCATTCATTCATTTATTCTTTTTTTATTACGTTTGATATGTTCATAACACATTTTTCCATTCTTATATCATTCTTTCATTCATCCATCCATCCATCAAACTATTTGTTTAATCCAGTTGAAACAAAACCTGTGATAAAGCCAAAATACCATAAAAATTTTCTTTTAATAAATCACACAGATTTATAATACGTACAGTTAGTTTAACAATTAAATGAACATTAATACAAATATAGTTCTTATTTACATGTACATTTAAATAGAGAAATATAGAGAGAGGGGGGGCGAGAGAGAGAGAGTAGACAGGCAACATGCATTATGAATGTCCTCTGCACCTACGTGTATAAACTTGTACAAATACTACGATAGTGAATGACATACAACCCACATTATGCAGTATTACCTAACATTAATATATATCATTGTACTTAACCTAACTGTACACACGTTGATGACGTCATTTTCGATGTCATTTCCTGTCACCATCACTTTGCTACCATTTATTATATGGATTGACATTATTTTGGGTTTCTTTATATGTGTATTTATGCATCATCATAATAATGTTATAATTGTGTATAAGGTGAACTTTAATTTTGCGTTACATGTTATACCCTTATTTATTTATTAAATCATATTTCAATATAATTGTTTATTACGTGTCTTCTTCGATTCAAATCTGAACTTCCAATGTTTTCTCTGAAATTGACAATAAATACTTTCCATGTCTAGCAGCAGATTTCTATTCACCATCATCATTCAGACCTGCCTAATTTAAGTTGAGAGCTACTTTCAAGAAATATAGCAGCAGCTTTATTTAAGTACTTAGTAGATGCCTATAGGTAAATGAATCAAAAGTAAGAAATTGTTTAATATCGTATTAAAAAACATTTGTAAAAAAAGTTTTCCTCAGTTCAATAAATGCAATAGTTTAGTCTGTACTGGTGACATAAAATTAATCTGTAAAACAGCGTTGACGAAAATGGAATTTGAATTAGCAATTTCCATGTAGACTAATCTAATCGATTCAATCAACCTAAGAGAATTTTATAAGTCAATTTGTGATTTTGAGATTCGTTATCATTCAATGTGTTGCTGGGACTATCTAACCACCTGTTTAATTTTTTTAAACTAGTACCAGATCATTGCCTGATAACAATTACTTACGAAGCAGATAAACTGATCGAAGAAATTGATGACGTCCGGATTTGTAAGTAAAATGAAACGCAGTAGCGGCTTTAACGTATCGATGCCTCACTACCCGATAGTAAGGATGACTTTCACAATCTTAAACGACGACGTTATAAGGCATATACTACTTAGGTGTTATGAGGTGATAGTGTTATATGGTATATTTTCACATAATACGGTATTATTTTTATATTATGGTGTAGGCAATTAGGTGGTCTCTGCGTCAAGTTTTGGTATATATTTTTAATAATGTTTTCGTCGATATCCGTACTTTGCTAAGTTTTGAAGACTTCAACAGTATGGTTTGGTATTTTTTTTAGAAATTTTCAGACCGTATTTATTTTTTACTACGGTTTATTTTATGCGGCCCGCGAAGCTATTTTACGCGGCCCGCGAGACTTTGTTCGCCAAAAAAATGTGGTGTCAGCCAGACATTATAACCAAAAAAAGGAGCCACAAATCGAAAAAAATTCTCCCCCAGGTCGAAATTTAAGTACATATGCGGCCTTTCAAATGTTAGTTCTCAATGCGGCCCTCACAGCAAAAGGTTTGCCCACTCCTGTTCTAATCACATGACGCAAATTTTTGCTTGTTGTAGGTGCTTGTTTGGGCAATATTATGCAATAAACATGTTTGACAGCTGTTTAAACTGGTCAGCTGTATAGCCGTTGCTGTTGAAATATTTCCTCGAATGACCTGCTTTGATGAATTTAGTTGGGCGTCAAGCTATTTAATAATTCTTGTACTTTCTAAGTATTCTTGAATTTTTAAAAAAGGCGACGACTATGATAAAACATATATGAACAAGATTAAACACATCAAGTTTGTTGTTAGTGGGTTAGAAACTATTAGATTCGATACAAATTTAATAAATTCAGTAAGAGATTAAAAGATAAATAAAATTATAAGTAGATTTTAATAAGCTTACAATGTAAGCTTATTAAACACACACACAAACACAATATTAAAATAATTAAATATGTTATATACACATCACGTGTTCGTTGGTGAACACATAAAATTTGTAGAAAAATGCATCATCAATTGTCCAGTTTCTGCATGGTCGTCACTGCTGACTGCCACAGCTCTTCCTTTTTCTCTGCAATTTGATTAATTTGAAATTCAAGGATGTTCCACCAGCTTTTTGTTTGTCAATCATTTCACATTTTTAAATTAACAAATTAGGTTTGAGAAATGCTCAACAATTTTTCAATTAAATCAAAAAATTAATTCATCAGTTTAAAAGCAACATTAACTGATGAGAGTGTAGCAAAAGATAAAGTGATTCTCTCACTACCTTGGTTCTGGCAGGACTGAATCAGCTTGGGTAGTTGCCACATGTGGTACCTCACTAAATATTTTTCACATGATCTTATTGAACCTTATAAATAAAATTTTAATACAAATTAATGAATAAACATTTAGCTTCAATTAAGTTATAACAGCAAATGCTTTAATTTAGACTAAATAAAAAAACATTTATGTTAATGTTTTATAAGCTTGTTACAAGTCTTTTCAATTGAGTATATTTTCTTCTACAGCACTTTGTTCTTCTAGCAGGCCATTATACATATATATTACATCAAGTTATCAATTTAAGAATATTGAAAATGGAGTGTGTACCTCCAGCGTGCAAAGTATGAAACGCCACGTCCAATCCATTAATCTTTCTGATGAAAGCTATAGACTGAATGACCTTGGAATGATGCTCTCTTTTGGCTCTTATCAGAACCATGCGTGTGTGAGGGTTGAGGTACTTAACTGCAACATTTCAAATGTTATTCAACTTCACTATCATCATTAACATGTCTGAAGACTCACAGTAAAAAAAAAATTTTAAAATGGTAATACCCTTTTTTTAATCACCATATTAGTAATACTACTACTACAACAAATGCCATCAATAATGCAAGTTTACATTGGAATCAGCATAAATTATCTACCATTGTCTTTCTCATCACTGATTATTGGTTTGTTTGAGTGCTATCATGACATGATCATATCATTTGTAAGTTGGTGCTCTCAACAGTGTAAGCAACAAAATGCTTAGTTAGGCAGAGTCAATTGAGGCAATGAGCATTTGTGGCATTTTAAACAATTTATTTAAAATGTCTCTTAAATGAAATTATTTATTAATTAAATTTGTTTAACTTTAATTTAATTAATTAATTTTTCTTTAATATTTATTTTTGTCATAATGTTGTTCACTAGAAATTATTTATAAAAAATCACCACTGAGAGAGGATTTCAGAACTCCGATACCATAATCGCCATGGAGTGACACGATGGATTCAAAAACAGCTCGGTAGATGTCACTTTCCTTGAATGGCAGTGTGGAGTACTTGTCTTTGCTAGTTCTTAATTCGCAGAGTATGTATCTAAAATTTCAAAATAATGTATTAAAATTATTTAAACGTGAAAAAAAACAATCGATAAAAAAATATACTTTACCTCTGTTTCAGGCGAACCATTTTAACTTCTTTAGACTTTAGCTTGAGACTGCAAAATATCGCTCAAAATTATTAAACATAGATTTAAAATTTGTTTTAATTAGTTTCAAATTTATCATTGTAGAAAGTACTTGTATCAACAACTGTACTCTACATTTGTAATTTTTAAAAATATTCAAAAAACTTAATAAATATTCAATTGTAATTCATTTAAAAATCAATACGTTAATTAATTTTTAAAAAACTGCTTCGAAAATAAACAGAGTCTACCTGTACTTTATTACCTTCTTACCTGGTTTGTTTCAAAAGAAATACGAACAGATCATAAAAAAAGCTAAAATAGCAGAAACTCGCATTAAATTTTAAATTATTAAAATTATGAGAGCTTAATGTATTAATTTAATTAATTAATTTGATATCAATAGATGATGTCTTCCTTTGAAGGTAAGCTACGCGTCTTACTGGCGTTCTTAGTCTTGGACATTTTTGCTTTTATTCTTTTATTCATATCGTTCGTCACTCCCTACTGGATAATATCATGGCCCAGGTTTTTTATTTTATTCATTTATTTGTGATTATTTATTCAATTCATTTGTTTTATTCAATCATTCAATTAGCTTGAGATAGTTAATAACCATTAGTTTAGCTTTAGTTAGTAGTTTTAGTTAAAAATGTTTTAATAATTGAATTATTATTAAACTATTAAATAAGATTACTACAGTATTTGATGCAGTGATACTCTGTTTTGTTATTTTATTATAGAGTTTATTCAGGATTTCGAAAAATGGGCCTATGGGAGGTATGTTTTGCTGGGATGTTGTTGGAGTACGACCCAGCTCAGAAGGCTTACTATGGTTGCTGGTGGATCCTTGCTCCAGAGTTGTATGAGATTCGATCCTTCATTATGCCTCGTTAGTCTCTTTTATTTTACAGTTATTGACATTTGCATGAATTTAAAAAATGTGTTTGACATGTTTTATTTAAATAACACAAATTTTCTCACAATTTATAAATAAACATTCGTTTTAACTTCATCTCAGTTGTAATTTATGAATTGTTCATGTCGCCACAGCCTGGTTCATTGTCATTCAGATCCTTGTGACTATCTGCCTAATGCTTGAGATCATTCTCGTCATCCTGGACGCTGCACTGTGGGTTGCCTCCTTGCAAAGGGACAATTCAGGTTGAAATTGTTGAGTTTAAATAAATAAATTTTCAGGAATTTCTATATGTATATTTCAAATTTGGAATTAAACAATTTAACCAAAAGATGAACATAATAAATCTTTCATGTATCAAACTTAGGCATTGGCAGGAAGAGAGCTCCTTACTCAATGGTACAATCCGTGACTTGGATCACTGTTGCTACATGTGAGTTGGAATGCTCTGAAAGTTATTCCTGAACATTCTCTAACGCTAATGAATGAACATTAATTAGCAAAGTCATTGTGATAACCTATTCAAAATTAAAAGTTTGCTTGTACTTGATAAAAGGTATTATGTGTTGTGGCATGTTTTGCACTACTCTCAAAATGAACAGCTGTACACTAAGCTGGCTTAAATGCACGTCAGATTTTGATGTACTGTGTGATGGGTTTTAACAACGCGCCTGTGCATAATTCTGAATGTTGTTACATTTTGTAGATTTGTAAATAGTGAATCAATAAATGATTTCATTGCTAATGACCAAAATATGCAATAAATGCAGAACTACCTTACCCACCCACATATACACAGGTGTGATGAAGGTATCATCGGTGTTGATATTTGGTCTGGCGTACAAGTTCGATCCATTCTGGCTGCCTCAGCACGAGATCAACTACCCACACTTCTCCTACGGACTCCTCATTGTCTCAGCATTCTTCAGCATATTTTCAAGCGTTGCTCACAGGTCAGGGTTCCTCATTATTGTTCACGTAATTATTTCTGCACATACACAAATAAACATGCCACACACGCGCGCGCACGCACTCGTGCATGTATATATAATGTTACGATTGAACAATGATGCAGAGTGCATAGGAGCATAGTGAAGACTGATGATTATATCAATCCTGCCACTGGGGCACGAGGGTACTTCGTTGCTGGTACCCAAAAAGTTTGAGGAGTGACAGATCAGATTGACACATCAAAAAAACACCGAAATAGTCCTTTTTATTAAATTAACAATTATAATTGATATTTATACTTATTATAAGAACTATTAAGAACTATAACAGAAATAAAATGAACCGTTTTAAATATTTTTTTTAATTATATATCGTTGTAAAGGAGGTTTTAAAATTGAATGTTCGTGACGTTTGATTTATTTTCAGTGACAGCACTTTTCAAAACATTTTGAAAAAATTCTATTGTCACTGCATAACTGCTCAAAAATTCAAAACTAATGTCCAAAAATAACCAAAACTTCTGTAAATAAAAAAGAGTTAGAGGGATAATAATATACAAACGCCAAGGACAACAAATTGAAAAATACTGCATTAGTATTAATATTATATGAAATAAAAATCAATTAAGTTACTAATATGTACATTAGATTCGTTTGAAAATTTGGACCAAAATCAGTTTATTCCTCGACCTCATCTCAGTGCTGTCGATGAGAGGCAAAAACTCGACGATACCTGCAACGAGTGCAGTACAGGTTAAGTTATTTATCGCCATAAGATAGGATAGCAAATGTGCTGCTATATTTTTCATTCATCTGCTCTATTATTTCATTATTAATTCATTTCAATTTTAAAACCAGAAAAAGATTTTCACATTCTGAACCTGCATTTTGGTCACCATATAACCGTTACGTATCTTTGAAGGACTTAATTAAGTTCCTAAACCGCAAATGAAAGCAAAGCAAACCAAAAAATATAAACGTATGTAGAAAGATGTGCAACCTGTGTTCAGCAATTCCTCACTGGAGTACCGATCCAGGTGGTTCATCTGTGCGTGGTGAATCGACATGATTAGAGATAGTATAAAACAGAAGATACTAAAAATAATTAACCAATTAAAAGTGACCATCAACATTCAAATCATCCAATCAAAATGGTAGACCTGTTTGCGGACATATTCAACCATCCTCTCTAAATCATGAGCGTTGTTACAATTTTTGTCGAAAAAATTCCTCCACAGAGCCCCAGCCAGCTGCTTGTCATCGCCAAGCAGACCCTGAGAATGAAACATCCGATCAGTTAAGTTTGCAACGCGTGCATATCATATTATCACCACCATGAATATATAATATCAACTTTCATCATTTGTAAGACTGTAGCCATTAATTTATTATTTTGTGTCGTAATAATTTTCAGAAATGAGATTTAATTTAGTAAAAATATTCAAGAAACCGAGAATTGTTTCAGCAGCAAAAAGAGGTTGAGAAATTTTGAAAAGTTTGTAACAATAGAAAATTGAATCAGGATAACCAAAAAATCATCCCAAGTGTGAACGTTTTTACAATTTCCATCATCAATATCCTCTATCAATATTAGCATGCCGTATGCAAGTGCATTAGCTACCATCATTTACCACTGGCACATGGCTCCAATCACCATCTATATCACCATCAATCTCACCGACCTCATCATAGCTGAAAAGTGCAGCCTTAAACTGTTCAGAAATATCCATCACCCCTTCCCTTCTGGCTGTCATTGTAGCTAATTCCTGATGTGGTGAGTGGTAATGATGGTGGTGATGATGGTTGAAGCTTTTTTTTTAATTCCATTTATTCACAAAAAAGTGAAAAAGTTAGCCTAGCAATAAATGCTTATCTAGGGTTGACTCCCATAAAACAAGAAATAACATAGTAAGTAATCAAAAAAAAATAAAAAAAAAACACAATAACATAAATGTCTTTTAAATTCTTCAATGTTCTTAAATTTTCATGAATAAACTTAGAAATATAACATCGATACATTTAAACTTAAAAAATGAATAAAATTAAGAATAAAATATTAATACATTTAACTTAAACAATTCAAAAATGTTCTCAACTTTTTATCATTGTAAATAAGTGATGGTGGTAATTCGATGATGTAACTTATCATTGCTTATCATTGCTTATCAATGATAAAGCTTATCATAATGACTTATCATTGCTTATCAATGATAAAGCTTATCATTGTAAATAAGTGATGGTGGTAATCACAATAAAATGATTGCTTTGATGTTGCTGGTGACATAAATCATGACAGTATAGCAGCGATGAAAACCATGGTGAAAATTTTATTAAGAATTGAATATAACATCAAAATGAAACAATTACACAAAAAGTAATTATTATTATATGATAAATTCAATGTACCACAGTTCCTGTAAGTAAAGGATCCATGAGAGTTCTAACTGACACCATCAAACCAATTCATTCACTCATTCAAGTACAGAGAAAAGCATGTAAGATAAGGTAAGCATGTAAGACTTCATACTGCATGTAAAACATGCAGTATGAAGTCATGTAATGCAGTCAAAATAACATACTCCTAATTTTTTAGTCTTCTTGTCGATGTCCTGCCACATATAATTGATGATGGAATTCCTCAGAGCCAGACCATCTTTGCCCTCATCTGACAATCGAACCATCAGCATCCTGTCATGATCAGTAAAGTAACAACATTTAAAATTAGGCTACGCAATTTTTAAACACATATAAATATATATATTTATTGTTTTTTGCCATATTCTTTTATTTGCCAAAAAAACTGGTCACCTGCAGAAGAGCTTATTGGGCCGCCCTAACAGAAAATACAAAAAAAAAACCAGACATGTTCCAGTCATATAATCAAAAATATTATTAAACCTAAGAAATGCTTTTAACTAATTTGTTAAGGCCAAAACTATAAAATAAACAGTAATAATTACAAAGTTGAAAATAATCTGTAATTATTAACGGAACAATAAGTTTTTTGAATTAATAAAAGTCGATGATAATTTAAAACCAGCATTTAACAATGTCAATAGCTTAACACCATAAACAAAAAAAGAATGTGTAAATAAAACAGTCTGAAATGGTCGAATATAAAACTCTGATGTATGTCTTGTTTTTTACTTTTAACAACTAAGGATATTTTTAAAAGATACTTATGAAAATATATAAAATATATATAAATATAAATATATATATATAATACATAAACATATTTAAATTAATCATTTTCAAAAAAATATTGTAAAACTCTATATATATATAATTGTTTTATATTCAACATTACGATTTTAATTTTTTTGAATATTCTTATATATAAATATTAATTATGTGTAGATGTGTTCGCGTGGTACATACATGAAGACACATTAACCCTTATGATGTGTGGTTTTGAAATGATTGAAAAATAAAGTTATTATTGCTATGATCAAAGACCATGGTTTAATCATTAGTCATATTACAATGAAGAAAGGAAAGTTATATATATAACTTTTTTTTACAAAATATATAAATTAATTAATTAATTAATTAATATAAAATAACCATAAATGCAGTTCTAAGACTCTGAACCATGAGTTGAATGTGTCTGACAAGCCAAATTCTAGTATTAAAATGCCAAATTAATATTTTTTAAAACATAACAAAACAAAAACAATGGATATAAGGTTGATGATTAAAAATGTTTGAAAGCATGAGGTAGATGACCAAGATATGTTGTCTTGAAAAAGATTTACCTCGGATGAATGTGTCATGGCTAACAAGTTCAATACAACAGAGATACAATCGTAAGGCAGATTTTTTTATTGTCTGTGAAAAAATATTTTTTTAAACAATTAATTAAATTAGTAATCTCTTAAAATCTTGCTCACTAATGGAACATTAAAATATAAAAAAGTAGAAACTGCAGATGATAAGGCAATCAAATCCAATCATTAAGAGTTCGATAACACAATAATTGAATAATGAAACTTCTCACTGATTTAGATAATCTTTTACCAGATTTGAATGTTATTTTGTCCCAAAATGTGTTCAAAAAACTCACTGTTGCAACCTTTTAAGTAGTAAAAGTTTATGACAACAACAAAAATATAAAAACAAATATATGGAAAAATAATAAAATAGAATAGCCATAAAGTAGAGAACAGATTCAGTCAGATGAATATAGATAATTGAAGTAATTAATTAAACAAAGAAATTGATGCAATAAAAATAAAATGATAATTTTATTTTATATACACACTAAGGTTACACAAGTTATAACACTTTTCATTTTCACATACAGAGTTCTTAGAAGACCTGTCAAGTCGATGACTGACAGATTGAGATGAATTGTTGAGTTGTTTGAGCTTTCTGTTGCATATGACAAACGAAGCAGACCTTCTTATGATGTGCTGGTTGCCACACGCCAAACTCTGCCATTATTATGATTTTGATCGTTAAAAATAAATGATTAAATTAAATTTTAAAACTAAGAAAAACAATTGAATGAATAGAATTAATAAAATTAATGATGATATAAAGTTATGATGAATAAAATAAAAAAAGCAAAATAAATCAAAATGCACTGCAACAGAAATGCTATGTTATGTAGGCAACCAACTGAACCACCAGACAAATGGAATGGGGCAAATATTCCAAAATCCAAACCAAAGCAAATTTGTAAAACACAAAACGGAAGTTATTTAAATATTTAGCATTCACGAGATTTTATTCAAATGTTCTCACCTGCATGAAAGAGTTGTTTGAAATAAATGTGAACGTCTTTAAAGCACTCGGAAGCAATCCGCCATAGCACAGGCACGTCGTCGCCATCTTAACCCACGACCTTCATGACATCAATGAACGGTGGTCTATCTACTAGGCTGAATTACTTCAATTTTAATGTAACCCATAAATATTTATCTATCTAAATATCTATCTATATCATATATATATATATATATATATATATATATGTGTGTGTGTGTATATATATATATATGTGTATATATATATATATATATATACACACACTTCACTCCATTTATGGGGCGGCGTGATGGCTCAATGGTTAAAGGCGCCTGGTTGTGCTATTGCAATGACTGGGTTCGAATACAAAGAGATCCCCGCCTATCATATGCAATGTGTATGATGCGTGGTTTGCACGCGTATTCATATACCGAAGCTAATGCAAAAGAGAGAGAGTAACCTTTAACCTTTTTATGCCCCTCGTTCAGAAAGCCAAGGCACGCTACAATTTAAATTTTATGTATTTATTCATTCATTTATTCTCTGGTTCGTTCATATATTCTTATATGTTTTCTTTTTTTTTTCATTTTTTTTATTCATTCATTCATTCAGTCTCAATCTAAATTATTTCCTAACATACTTATCAGATATATTAACTGAACCTAAACGCCCCGGTTTACGATCGTCTTCTTCTCGTTTCTTCTTAACTCGTGTCAAACACTCTTTTGCTAAAACTGCATTTGCTTTTTTCTGGCCCTTTTCTCTGGAACTCTCTACCTACTTCTCTGACTACTTCTCCATCACTTAAGAAGTTCAGAGCGGATCTCAAGAACCATCTGTTTGCAAAATTCATTGAGGAGCGTTGCTGAAAATCGCGGAAATAGCGCTTTATAAGCAAATTAATTGATTGATTCCTTCATTCATTTATTTATTTATTCATTTATTTATTCATTCATTCATTCATTATTTCTTCCGTGCGATATAATCAACGTGTGCTTTCGACCGACCTATAAACAGCATATATATAATATATATATATATATATATACACGTATATAATTATATAAATATAGAATAAAATGGTTCCAACAAGACCCTTTGGCGGTATCATCCTTTACATTCATCACCATCTACCTGCAAGTTACTCTAAACTGCATTTTTATATATAAAAAAGGAAGATTAGTATAGTGCTGCTCTTTTTATTAATTAATTAATTCATTCATTAATTCATTTATTCGTTCGTCCGATCATTCATTCTTTCATTCATCCATTCATTTATTTAATAATCCATCCATTCATTTTCCATGCATTCGTGCAAATTGTTCGAATGAATGGTTGTTGCAAGTCGTGTGGTGTGAACGTGATATATTAATAAAAATAAAATGATGTACATGATGAAATTATTTTATAAAATGTTAAAAATGTTCAGAGACCAACAAAAAAATAATCAAAAAAACAAGTGTACAATATGAACAGATCAATAAAATGATCAAAAAACAATAAAATGATTATTATTTTTATCTAAGAATTATGTGAATTATGTGAATTTATTTGGCTGGCGCACGGATTAAAATATTGAAAAAACAACGGTTAAGCATAGGACAAATTAAAACTTAAAAATTAAAAATTCTTTTGCTTTCCTACTACTACTACTACTACTACTACTACTACTACTACTACTACTACTACTACTACTGCTACTACTACTACTACTACTACTACTACTACTACTACTACTACTACTACTACTACTACTACTACTACTACTACTATTACTACTACTACTACTTTTCGTGAATGCTGTCAAGTTACCAATCGAAATACTATCATAAAAACAATAAAAAACAAACCTTGGGTCTCTTCTGAGTTAAAAAATCTCATCACAAAAAGAAATAAAAGTTACAAAAAGTTTCTTTTGATTCCTAATAATAATAATTTAAATAAATTCAAAAGCCTTAAAATAACTTGTAATAAACTAAATAAATCTTTAAAAAAAAATTATTATCATCATCTTTTTGAAAAATATAGAGGAGATAGCAAAAAAACGTGGACTGCTCTGAACGAGTTAAAACACGGAAAAGACGTAAAACCCGATAGTATACAAAAATTAACAAATGAAGAAATTGACCCAGCAAATGCTTTAAATAACTATTTTGTTGAATTAGCACCGAATTTACTGAAGCTCATTCCACGGAATTCTCACTGGAAGAATTACTTCAAGACATTTGTTTCCAACTCGTTTTTTTTGTAGATACGCAACGGTTGATGAGATCATTGCAACAACAAAATCTTTGAAACAAAAAACATCAAGTGGCTACGATGACATACCAACAAAAATTGTCGTCTCTACGATTCATTCTACTGTGTTTGTTCTAGAATATTTGATAAATCTATCTTTTGAAAAGGGCAAATTTCCAAGCTGTCTCAAAATCGCCAAGGTAATTCCTATTTAAAAAATTAAAGGAAAAACAGATTTATCAAATTTTCGCCCTATATCACTCTTGCCAGCATTTTCAAAAATACTTGAAAAACTAATGCACCGACGAATGACTAGTTTTTTTGCAAAAAAATAATATTTTGTCAAATTTCCAATTTGGTTTCAGAGAGAAATTTTCTACAGAATCAGCAATCGTAGAACTAGTTCGCAAGATTGGCATCAATACTGAATGTAAAAGATTTGTCATTGGAACGTGTTTAGATCTGTCGAAAGCATTTGATTGCATCAACCACGACATCATGCTCAACAAGTTGGAAAAGTACGGTTTTAGAAATACATCACTGCATTGGTTTCGTAGCTACTTAACAGAAAGAAAACAATTTGTCTATGTGAACGATGAAATTTCCAGTCTGCTCGGAAACAACAACGGTGTGCCTCAAGGAAGCATCCTAGGTCCTTTGTTATTTATATTGTACATAAACGATCTTCCAGCAGCATCAGCGTTTTTTGACTACGTAATTTATGCTGATGACACGAATGTTTTTAGCAGCGGCAGATCAATGAAAGAACTTACTGAGGAAACAAACAGAGAGTTAAAAAACATAATCTCTTGGTTCGAAGCCAATAAACTTTCAATTAACAGTTCAAAAAGCCAAATTATGGTTTTTGGACCCGTACAATATCTAAATTACAAGGAGCCGTATAAAATCATCCTAGGTAACAACACAATTGTTGAAACAAAATGTTTAAAACTTCTAGGCATGCTGCTCGATCAGAAACTCTCCTTCAAACAGCACATAAAACAAGTATCATCCAAACTTTCAAAGTAAATAGGAATGATAAACAGAGTAAAATCATTTTTGCCAAAAAACTGTTTGAATCTTCTGTGTAATTCCCTGTGCATTCCGTTAATACACTACTGCAACATTGTATGGGCTTCATCGTACCACACATCAACCTTACCAATGGAAATATTATTCAAAAGAGCAGTTAGATTGATAACGAGATCCAAACGATTTGAACACAGTCAACCATTGTTCAACAGCACGCGAAACTTGAATTTCTCAAAACTCAGCATTTACTTTCTGATGATTTTTGTTTATAAACAGTTAACCAATCGATTATCTGATTTATTTAACAGTTATTTCAGGATGAAACAACAATGTCTCTAACAAATCGAAAACGAATATTTTGTTCTCTCGCGTGTATTGCAAGGGACCGAGAATCTGGAACGAAATTTTAAACAGTGGATTTAATTTTGAATTTATTTCGTTAAACAATTTTAAAAAAAAGTTAAAAGAATATTTACTTAAGTTTAAAACATAAATTTTTTGTTTTTGAAATTACGTTTAAATTCTGTTGAAAACTTATAACATTTTAAAAATTATGTCAAGGTGGTCAAACTCGATGAGTTTCTGAAAAGAACTTTACTGTGGTCATCCTGTCTTCTTCTTATTGATATAAAGGGGAGAAAATTTTTTTTTATCTCTCTTTTTTTAGATTAATTTTGAGAAGCAAATAAAAATTCGTTTCGTTTCGTTACTACTACTACTTGAACTACTATTGCTATTAAACTACTGCTGCTGCTTCGTGCATGTCTATGAGTATGTATTCAACCTCGATTGACAATGATTTCAAACATTGATTGATGTTGATTTCATACAAAGTTACTTAACATCATATGATTGAGGGTCGTCAACAAAATGTGATAGCCTATCCATGCCGAAAAACAGTTTGTTTGAATATTTAATTTGTTTGCTTTGAAGCTTGGTACTTCAACAGTGATTATATTTATTTAAAACACGATATAGATAAGCGATTTTCAACTATCGGTACAACACTAACCTGAATTGTAGTGAAAAAACTCAGAAGGAGGGCAACTTGGTCTAAAATATCAATTTAACCAAGACTTATGTTAACCAGAACTTGTTAACTGTTTGATAATGTAACTCCACAGCTACCAAAAACGGATCAACAGCAACAGAGTAATGACACCCAACTGGAGCCTCTCATGAATTTTGATGAAGAGCAACAACAACAAAAGCAAAAACAACAATTGTATAAACTCCAATCTAATGAAAAACAACAGCAGACACAAACACAACTGTCACAGCTAGATTACGATGAAATGCTAGAGATCTTAAAAGATTCTTTACAAGAACATAAGTCCCAAACATTTAAACAACAGCCGCAAACACAAATAGAACAAGAAACACTCCTGCAACCAGAGCAACAACAACCATTACAGCAACAAATGAAACAACAATTGTATGAGCTAGAACAACCACAAGAGCAACAACAAACTCAAGATAAAACGAAAATAATTCAATCACCTCAGCAACAACCACAACTACATTATCAGCAGCAACAAACACATGTGTGCCAACAATTGCAACTTCCAAACCCACAATTACAACACTTACCTCATCAAAGGCAACCACTGCAACCTCCAGCCAACGTGCACCAACATTATCACCATCAATTTCATTTTAGTCAATATCATACATTCAATCAACAGCCTCAATATTTCCCGCAACTGCCTTTAGGACCAACTTCACAACAACCACCATTTTTTACACAACCCACATTTCTCACGCAACAACCCACATTTCTCACACAACAGCCAGCACAATTTTTTAATCCACAACCGCAACAACCACACATTTTAATTCCCCAGCCACAGCTACCACCATTTCTTCAAAAACCATCACCACAACAACTGCTAATGCAGCAACCACCACTACAGTCACAACTAACACTGCTCCAACCACAACAACCAAGCTCACAGACATCTTTTACCAAGCAACCGATACCTAGGAGAAGAACGAAAGACCACCACAGAACCGCACATAGTCCGGGGCAGATAGAAAAATTGGAAAATGAGTTTGTGAAAAACAATTTTTTGGACGCGAGTAGAAGAGATAGGATTTCAGCTGAAACCGGTCTGGATATCAACCAGGTTCGCTACTGGTTTCAATACAGACGGGTGAAGGAAAGAAAACTAAAAGGGTGCGCAGGAGAAGATAATGCATTTGTAAATAACGACAGTTAGAGCCACAGGAGCAGCAACTTAATTAACAATTAATAATTTTGCAGGATCAACAACGGCAGCAGCAACTTCTGGAAGTACAACCGCAAGAAATATCCCTACTAGATCAACAACCGCTCTTTGAACCTAACAGCTGATTACTACGACAACGAGCACAACAACAGCAACTACTAATTTGCTTCAGCAGCAACAACAACAACAGGCAATGGATGATAATATACCGTCTGATTTTCCACTAATGTTGCTTTTAATTGTTAATTTTTTGGAAACTTTTATTTTATTTGTATTAATATTTCTGTTACATAATAAATTTAAACGCGAAATCTTAATTTTATGTTCTTAATGCTAAATCATATATAAGTGTGCAAATTCTTATTGTACATTTTCGTTGTCGTAGTAAATATATATTTTACAAAAATAAAATATTGAAAATGATTTTATCAGAAATAGTTTTCTTTGTTATGAACAATGAAAAAAAAATAATATCAACAACAAATGATACAGCAGCTAACACTAATACTATGTCATAGTAGTAGTGGTCGCAGCAGCAGTAGTAAGAGTGACGGCTGTACTAGTACTAAATGAAACATCTAAAACAGTAGCAGAATCTATGTATCAGAGTGCTAGTAGTAGTAGTAGTAGTAGTAGTTTTAGAGTAAATTGAATTCGATACTTTAATTTTTTTAATTATATACTTATTACCATTTATTTTTAAAATTGTCAAAGAACGTAAAATTTAAAAAATGAGAAAATATTTCCACATTGCGGTATTGAGAAAAATAAAACTTTGTATACTTTACATAACATAAACAGAAAATAGAGAAGCGCGAACTAACGTTCCTATGCCTCCAGCAAATGAAAAGCCTCCATTGTATTTTTAAAATAATAAAATAAATAAATGAAGTAAAATAAAATACAGTTGGATGAAAATACAGATTGTTAATGATATATGTCCAGTTTATGTTAATGATATGTTAATATGTTTGTAGTTCCAGGAACTACAAACATATTAAGGCCAAACATTCGGTAGAATTTATAGAATATTATAAAAATATATATATATATATATATTTATATATATATATAAGTACACACCGAAGCAGCATACTCTATCTATGACCTGAAAAGGGATTTATATAAGATTAAAAAAGTAGGTTTAGGTATGTCTATTTATCAATCCTAGAGTTATATTACACTTATAATATTGTATTATAAATGTGTTTATGAAATTACATGTCTGGTTCAAATATCAACCCCAAATCTTTAACAAATTCCACATGTTCAAGAAGTAAACCATTCAGAGTATAAGACTCTTACCACATGCTATACGCCCATAATTCATAACGACACATTTATCCACATTCACCCCAAGCTCCCATTTTACACACCACCCGTAAAAAAACATCCAGACATGTCTGAAGGGCCTCCATATCATCATTAGAAGAGATACACTTGAACAATTTAGCGTCATCAGCATATAGATACATCCCAAGATTAGAATCATTCTTACATAAATAAAAAAAATCATTCACATAAATAACAAACAAAATTGTTCCCAACACACTGCCCTGTGAAACCACACTAATCACTTTAAAATTATCAGACAGACATCCATTCACACACATTGCAAAAGTTCTACCACTAAGATAATCAGAAATCCAATCAACCACAATCCCATTCACACCATATTCACATAATTTTTTAATTAACCTGTGATGAGTAACTTCATCTAATGCTTTCTCAAAGTCTGTATAAATCACATTAATTTCCTTGCCTTCATCAATCGCAACACTCCAGTCACTACCATTTTTAGCAACTGCATCGCATCTTATTTATGTGGCATAAACCCAAACTGTCTAAAATCAAATAAATTATTGCTAATAAAATGAGACCTAAGATTATCTTTGACAAATGTTTCCATCACCTTACAACAAGCACAACAAAAAGATATGGGTCTATAATTTGTTACATTTCAGACATCTACTTTTTTATAAACTGGCACTATTATACTGTGTCTCCATCAATTAGTTATCATCCGAAGCTTTAATGACATATTAAATAAGCTACATAAAAAATGTGCAATCTCTTCACTACATTCATATAATACTCTGTTGAAAAATTTGTCTGGCCCAGCTGATTTATACTTATTAATTTTTTTTAAGCTTAGATAAAACTTCCATAACTGTAACAGTTATATCGTCCACCGATGAAGTAAAATACCTACTACCCATATTAGTATCATTATCATCATTCAAAGATAAATTGAATACACTATACAAGTTTTGCCCAAATAAATTAGCCTTTTCAGTGTCATCATAAACATTCAAAACCTTGCCCTGACCATCCAACTTATGAAGGACATCAATATCTCCTTTATTTTTTATGGCTTTATTGATGTGCTGCCAGAACACTTTTGGATTGTCTTTTTACATTATTACGCTATTAACAAGTTGTTGTTGTTGTTGTTGCAGCAGTTGATGTTGTGGTTGCAGCAGTTGTTGTTAATATTATGTGAGTGTGTGTGTGTGTGTGTGTATGTTTATTACTGTTTTTGAAAAGTCATCAGAAATAAGGATGTTAAAATAATTTATTTCATTTAGATATGGGCATATGTTCTTCGCGCCCATTATTTCATTATGTTTGTTTAATGTTTATGTACTGTTACTGGGTTCAAACGACGAGATCCTCGCTTTGCGTTTTGATCTGCGTGAATACAAGAGTATGCAAAGGATGAAAAGCAATCTGGTAAAAAAACACAGATCAGAAATGACAAGCCATCTGACGAAAGTTCTATTATATCCCTTCAAAAGCAACGTTAAAAATTACCACTACAAGATTAAATTAATCATCAAACACAACGAGACCGTAATGATAGAATAATACTGCAAGACCAAAGCAACAACTGAACGTACCTACATGACCTACTAAACATCAGCACGATGAATTTTTCGAATGATATGGTAGATTGTCCGGATGAGTTGTTACATTCAAATGGATTGGATTGGAATGAATTAGATGGTGAGGATGAAAACATGAAAAAAAAAAATTATGAATGCAAAAAAATTATGAATGCAAAAAAATTGATTCGTACGCCTGAAACTTTGAGACTTTTACCGTGTAGGGTACAGCGTTACAGGTTACAGAATGAAAATATGAAAAAAATAAGAAAATCATGGATGCCAAAGAAATGATTAGTACGCATGAAACTTTGAGACTTTTACCGCGTAGGTTACAGCGATAACATTTTTCAAGGTTTGGAGTGGGAATTCAGTCAAAACAATTTTTTTAAAGAAAGAAACAGAATTGCGCATGAACTCTACCTATTTCAACAATTTTACAGGATGCAATCATGAGCACATATTGTTTGAAGGCTTTTTGTTTCCTCGTTAATTTTCGATCCTTCATCTAATAGAATTATGAATAAATTGTGTATACAATCATGTACCAACAACAAATGATACGGCAGCTAACACTAATACTATGTCATAGTAGTAGTGGTCGCTGCAGTAGTAGTTATAGTGACGGCTGTACTAGTACTAACTGAAACAACTAAAACAGTAGTGAAAGACACAATAGCAGTCTATGTATCAGAGTGGTAGTAGTAGTGATTGAATTGGAAAAGTATTGGAAAAGTAAACAAACATGTCAGTCGTAAATAATGAAGTTTTATACTTTTTAATTAATAACTTTGATTTGCTGGATAATGAAAGTATCATTTAAAATGTTTTTGAAGCTGAAACCTGTAAAAAATTAGCCAGACAGGACACTAAGAAAAATTACTGCGTTTTATTTCTATTTTTAAGTGTGTTAAAACTTATAGCCTAATAGATAAATTATATATCCCGTTTATGTTATAAAAAATTTAAAGAAAATTCCTTGCCTAGAAAATGTTATAAAGGTAAATTTTGAGGGATTACGTAATGATATTTCTAAATTAATAAATAGTCAACAGCTGGTTATCATTAATAAAAGTGAAGCATGTAACAAACTGTGCGCGGTCAGTGACAAATTAAATACTAATGCATAGCGAGCAATAGTAGTAGGTCGTCTGAAGTAAACCATGATAGGAAAATTAATTCTGCACTCCTTCGAGGTTTTAAATGGGCGGATAATGTAGCTTTAAAAACGCCAATAGAAAGTCAAGATGGTTTCAAATTTGCCGAGCATAGAAAAAGGCGTGCTGATCCACCTTCACATAATGTGAAAATGTGTCGAATGTGAAAAAAGATCGACTAAGGCTGTTAAGTATATTATGTATGCGGATAACACTACCATTTTGGCGGCTGGCGATTCCATAGGTAAAGTTGAATGTATTCATAACTCAGAGCTCGCAAGAGTTCACTTTTGGATGATAAATAATAAACTGCAAATTAATTTATCAAAAACTTAAGCGATTCTTTTTGGTCCTAAAATTGTCACCAATTTACTAACATTCTCTATTTTCTACAATAACAATTTGGTGGATCGATTGAACAAAATAGTCTTTCTAGGTGTTACAATCTCAAGCAATCTAAGTTGAAAAGAGCTCACAATTAGCATATCAAACAAAGTATCTAAAAATCTAGGAATAATATATAGACTAAAATATCTCTTACCGAAATGTGTATTACTTAATGTATATTATTCTCTTATTTATCCTTATTTCACTTATTGTATTGTAGTTTGGTGTCGTTACATTAAGTCTCATATTATTATCTTAGATAGATGTTTATACTTCTTTATTCGTATTTATTTTGACCTGAAAAAATATGATCATATTTCATATTTATCGTTGTCTAATTTGTTGTCTATTCCTAAACTGTACGTTCTCAGATTGTTATTATTCATGTTTAATGTTATAGTTAAGAAGAAATTTGTTATGTTTAATTTATATTTAATTAAATCTTCTGAATATTGTAAAAGAACAACTCGGCACACTCCATTATACAATAGTATTGTCCCTCGTACTGCTTTATTTTCATCTTCAGTTTTTGGCAGTGGTGTGTAGTTATTAACTACAAATAGTTAACTACTAGTTAATAACTACTTGCTAGTAGTTAAGCTGTAGTTAATAACTATTTTTTTCAAAGTAGTTATTAACTAGTAGTTAACTATTTTTTTAGTAGTTAATAACTACAGTAGTTAACTATTTTACATAACTACTTATAATAATAAGCTAATATTTGATCGCCCCTATCTGTGTGCATGCATTGTTGTGTTACTGTTGAAAACATTTGCTATGCATGACTAATCATATCACATGCTGGATAACAAATGGTTGTATATAACAATGAGCAAAACATATATAAAACATATATACAATATATCATATATATTTATATATATAACATATTGTATATGGACACATATAATAGACATTTTACATAATATACATACATATTATATACACCTATTGCATTATGTAGTTGTCTGTGGGGCATACAAGGTTAAGACAACTTAATCATGGATGTCCATGACCTAATGCATCATTAATTCATCATATTAATCCCATGGGTTGTATCATATATCTATTGGTTGTTGATAAACAAATGCTGGTTGAATGTCCATGTGTGTGCGAGCGTTGCATACGATAATAACAAGGATAAAAATATTATCCTAGTCTTTATTCATTTATGATCTTTTGCGTGTAGCTTAGCAGCATAATTCAATTTCCGTTTCTTTTTTGGTGTTGAAGTTAGTGAGTGTTTGTGGTTGACATTTTGAACAATTTTTAGAACTCCAAATAAGATATGAACACCCAAGTTGTTAAATCGTGTTTTGTTGATGTGTTGTTAAAAAAAGATAATGACAGAAACTTTACTGCTGCATGTATCACATGCAACAAAAGAATTTCAGGCAATGTCTCTAATTCATCCAACTTCTTAAAGCATGTCAAAGTGAGTGTTATTTTATATAATTTTTGTAGATGAATAATTTTGTTTTTTGGGCAAACTACTGAACGTCCCATCCCACAATCATTGCTATGCTGTCACTCTAGGCGGCGCCACAGGGCCTTAAATTTAAAAAAGCACGAGTCTATGTTACTAAGTGTCACTATCAATGCAAACAACAACAGGGTGGATAAGAGTTAGGGTCATATTTAGAGGGTATTTATAGGGTGAGAAGGTGGCTTTTCCATACCCTAACCCATAGGCCATATCTCCCCTATTATCATTTGCATTGGTAGTGACTAGTGACACTTACAACGTTTGCCAAAATTACTGTCCGCAGTAAAATTGAGTATCTTTATAATAAATTGATATTTATATATTTCTTCAAGGAACAGCATCACGCAGTCTATAAAAATTTTTTATTGAAAAATACTGAGCATAGCAAAAAAAGAAAACTATCAGCATCAGCCGAAATTGTTCCAACGACTAAGTTGAAACAAAATGAAATAGATAAATCATTCTCAATGCACAAATCTGTCTCACAGGAAAAATTTAATCAAGGGATTGCAGAGATGATACTCGAAGATATGGAACCTGTAGCTATTATAGAAAGAAAAGGTTTCGACAGATTTTGTTCAAAGTTTTTACCATTATATAAAGTTCCAACTCGCAGATGTATAAATCAAAACATAGATGACATATATAATAATAGTAAAAGGCAACTCATCGAAAGTTTAAAAAATGTTAAATGGATGTCAGCAACAGCGGATATATCGTCATCCTACAAGAGATCATTCATTGGCATAACATTACACTACGTATGTTCACAAACGTTGCAGATGGAATCTGCAGTTTTAGAAGACGAAGAATACATATTAGCATCAGCATTAATTCCTCAATTCAAACTGAATTTTTTAAATGATGATAAAAAGAAGTTATTAATTAGGGAAAAATTATTGACGTACATAAAAGATGTCGAAAAAGAAATTGGAAAACCAGGTGATAATAATTTTTATTTTACTATATTGGTTTTCATTTATTTTGTTTATTTTATAAATTGAATGTTTTTGTAAAATTGTTTTACATTTCTATCCCATACAGATCAAGCACAAAATCCCATATTAGCGACCTCCAAAGACACAACTCCTGAATGCAATAATCTATATGACTATATTGAGGAAAACAGTGAAAGTTCTTGCAAATTAGCTGAACAACTCAACAATTATTTATCTAGTCAGGCAAAAAATGTTGAACATTTATTTTGCTATCCAGCAGTGTGTGCAGCATTTTTAAAAATAAATTCGACATTACCAAGCTCAGCTGCTGTTGAAAGGCTATTCAGTGTTGCCGGACAAATTTTACTAATAAACGCTGCAAGTTGTCTGATGAACACATAGACAAAATGATTTTTTCGAGAGATTATCTCAGAAAGTCATTAATTTGACATATAATTTTTATGAATAAAACCTTTCAAATAAAAGTTAGTTTGTCTTTAAATTTATCAGTTAACTACTGCAAAAATTAGTAATTTGGTATCAAAAGGTTGTAAACACCAGTTTCTTTTTAAATGGCAATGTTTGTAAAGTAGTTAACTACTAGTTAACTACTAGGTGGTAGTTAAAGAGTAGTTACTAACTACTGTTGTGCAAAGTAGTTGAAAAGTAGTTACTAACTAGATTTTTTCAAAGTAGTTAACTATAGTAGTTAACTACATTTTTTAAGTAGTTAGCACAACACTGGTTTTTGGATTAAAACTGTGGTCAAAATTACCGTGTTTAGTTATACAAGTACCTAACTATAGGCTATTTAAAAAATCGATTTTTGACTTAATTAAAAAAAACTTTTTTCACAGGATATGATTTAATTATTTAAATTTTTTAGGTTATTTTATAAGGAAAATTCAATTGTTTTGTTTAACTTGATAACTTTTGATGACCATTTTTGTTTTAAGTAATTTCTGCTACTTTTTGGTTAAATTTAACTTGTTCTCATTGGCTAGCTATGCAATTTTATTTTCATTTATGTTGTTATTTTCATGTAAGTATATGTTTTTCTTTGGTATGGGTTGGGTGGCCGTACAAGCTCGTTTGAGCTTCCGTGTCTCCATGCTTTTTGCAGAATAAATTTTTTGCTGAATTGAAATCGATACTTTTATTTTCTATTTAATTGTATATTTATAAACTAATTAATATTTTATTTAATTGTACACTTATTAACTTTTGTTTTTAAAATTGTAAGATAACGAAAATTGTATAAAACATTAAAGTATTTTACATTGCAGTTTGAACGCAAAGATCCACGCTTTGCGTTTTGACGCGTATGCGAAGGATAAGAACCAATCTGGTGATGAAACACAGATCAATAATGACAAGCCATCTGACGAAAGTTCTATTATATCCCTTCAAAAGCAACGTTGAAAATTACCATTACAAAATGGAATTAATTAACAGACACAACGAGACGATGAAGCAACAACTAAACGTACCTACATGACCTACTAAACATCAGCACGATGAATTTTTCGAATGATATGGTAGATCGTCCGGATGAGTTGTTACATTCAAATGAGTTTTTGGATTTTTAATGAATTAGATGGTTAGGATGAAAACATGAAAAAAATAAGAAAAATTATGAATGCCAAAGAATTGATTCGAACGCATGAAACTTTGAGACTTTTACCGTGTATGTTACAGCGAAAAATTTTTACAAGGTTTGGAGTGGGAATTCAGTCGAAACAATTTTTTGCAGAAAGAAACAGAATTGCGCATGAACTCTACCTATTTCAACAATTTTACAGGATGCCATCATGAGCAGATATTGTTTGAAGGCTTTTTGTTTCCTCATTAATTTTCAATCCTTCACCTAATATATTTATGAATAAATTGTGTATACAATCATGTACCGTATATTTTTTGATTGTTTATCGATGATAACATACTTGATAATTTGGAAATATTTAGAACAAATAATAAAAACGTGTGCCCACAGACACCAACACTTACAATAACTATAACTATCACTTTTATTTTGACTTCAACTTTGTTTTTGACTTTGACTTTAATTCTAACTTTGACATTAACTTTGTTAGAAAGTTGTAAATTATGCAATCTCGCTCACATAGTCGATTAATAAAAAATATTAATTAATCGTTTTTGTTTATGATGTTGGTTGCAAAGGTATATAAATCAGTTGTAATCTTCCTTTGAATAGTATCTTAGAAATTCCAAACGAATTATAAATGAATTTATCTTCCGGGAAATTTATTTTAGCCGATAACACTAATATACATTGTCCAACTAATTCATTATAAATCATATTGAACTTTTTTAAGCAAACTTTATAAAACCATATATATTGATTTCAACTATTTCTTAATTGGGCTTTTATTATTTCATAGTTAAATTTAAAATGTCGTCGGCAACGAATAACGCAGAAGATGCAGTAAAATATCAGGAAGAATTAAAAAATGCATTGGAAGGATTGGAAAGATTTGAAAAATTAGAAAGATTAAGAGTAGAAAATTGTTCAACAGGAAAATTTGCAAATGATGCAATTGTAGGACCTGATCAGTTATTAGGACAAGCATTTGCAGATGAAGACTATGAATATGAATTAAAAATTGCATTAGAAGGATTGGAAAGATCTGAAAAATTAGAAAGATTAGGAGTAGAAGAATTTTCAACGAGAGAATTTGTGGATGATGCAATTATAGGACCAGATCAGTCATCAGAACAAACATTTGCAGATGAAGTTGTGGAAGAAGAAAAAAATTTAGAGGTTTTAACAGAGTCTATACAAGAAGATAAGACGCACTTTTTTCAACAATCCCCGCAAATAACACAAAAACAGAATCAGCTGCCATCCAAGATAACTCTAGAACAAACATTTCTATTAAACTCCACTCAACTATTTCAAGGACAAAAACTACCAGTACGGAGAAGGTTATTTGATAATGTAACTCCACAGCTACCAAAAACGGATCAACAGCAACAGAGTAATGACACCCAACTGGAGCCTCTCATGAATATTGATGAAGAGCAACAACAACAAAAGCAAAAACAACAATTGTATAAGCTCCAATCTAATGAAAAACAACAGCAGACACAAACACAACTGTCACAGATAGATTACGATGAAATGCTAGAGATCTTAAAAGATTTTTTACAAGAACATAAGTCCCAAACATTTAAACAACAACCGAAAACACAAATAGAACAAGAAACACTCCTGCAACCAGAGCAACAACAACCATTACAGCAACAAATGAAACAACAATTGTATGAGCTAGAACAACCACAAGAGCAACAACAAACTCAAGATAAAACGAAAATAATTCAATCACCTCAGCAACAACCACAAC